GCTGACTCCTAATACCCCATACTTTTTTAAGTGGCTTCCCTTCTCCGTGCTTCAGTTTCCTCATCTGCACAGGAAGAGACTGGAGCAACAAACTCTGTATCTCTTTCAAAATCCTGATATTCTGAGTTTCCTTTCAAAGCTCACAAGTTCTCAAATTGCTCCAATGAGAAGGAGAATTAAATGGAAATGGGTTTTCTTTACTATCAGGAGAGGGGCCCTTGCCATGTGCATCGCCTCATCTGGCAGTGATGACAACTTTTATTGGCAGCATAATGTCTTTGATTAAACACCTAGAGTTTCCCCAGACGCTGGCTGCATGTGAAGTGAAGAAATCCCAAACCATAAGCAAAGAGAAGCAGAGAGCCCCATGGAAGCTGGTTCCTGTTCACCTGTTTGCTTGGAGGAATTCTCAAGCAGCTCCCTACTCGCTGCAAGTTAGACATAAACGAGATGACTCATGAGGGTCTGGCCATGAATTAAAGTGGAAATCCAGCACTTCTTTGGTGCTCTGTCTCAAATAAGCTGTTCCCAGCACATCGCAGAACCTGAAAGGAGGCACCTTTTCTGTGTGCTGTTCTGCCTTTCAACTGATTGAAGAATATAAAGCCAGACTGGGCCTTGGAAAGCATATTACATAAAATGCCTTTATTTTCTTCAACTCAAGGCTGCAGTGAGCATATGTTGTAATGATATCCTTTTAAATGATGTCTCTTAAGTGGACACTTCGCAGGCTGATAGGCCTTCCTTATAGGGGTGTGTGTGTGCCTGTCAGTCTGTGTGGGTAAGCACACACACACATACATGGGAGAGAGAATATGAATGTATCTTAAAATATGAAAATTTAGTCATCTTAGTTGCATTATAATTAGCTTTCCCTTTTATGTCATCTTAAGAGCAAGCATCTTTGCTTTCTCTTTTCTTTCCATTTATTCAAAATATTCCATTTTATTGAATTTTGCTTTTTCTTTTTCCTCATTGCTTTAACCTTTGGTGGAAAGGACAGCTTCTTTAGGATATAGTCAAATGGCAGGAAAAGGTAGAAAAAAAAATTTTAATATGTAATGGGGTGCACACAGCACTGCAATTCAGAAGAATAGGGAAAGATGTGTCTTTTATCCATTTAGTTAAAACATTATCTTCTGATTAGTGTTTCACTCTATCTCATTTAGCATGTAGAAATAGTGCTATATATAGCCCCTGTAGGTCAGTGTTTGTCAAGAGGGGTGCCACTGTTCCCAGAGGAAGATTTGGAAATGGGCGAGGCAACTTGAAATTGTTTCAGTGAAAGAGGATCCAAGTAGCTCCAACCCAGGGGTCACAGAGACTATACTCTGCAGTACAGTTGACAGTTCCAAGCAATGATAAATTGTCCCATGTCCCCGCCAACATTCAAGTGAGTGAAAACTATGTTCTCTATCTGAGCCTGCAGTTGCACTTCATTTTGCATCTGAACATAAAGCATCTCTTACATAGCTTTGATATACCAGTTCTTCGGCAATGCAAAAACCATGTAAATCAAGGGAGGCTGGTAGTTCATCTTGTTCCAAACTTTGCCAAGAGTCGGTTCACTATTTTGGAAAATCACACCACTGAGAGAGCGCTGCTTGTGGGCCCTGGGATCTCCAGTACAATACAACCTCATTATTCCCACCTGTTTCAGCCAAACATCCAACTGCTTCATTTTATCTCCTAGTGCATCATACCCAAGTATTTACAAATTGAGATACATATTTTATTGTAATTTATCTCTGCATTTTTCCTTTATATCATAGTTCAATAGTTAAAGCATTATGATATGTATATATATGTATATATATATATATACATACATATATATAAAATACGTGTGTAAGTTAGCAGTCAAACTTTTCAGTAAAGAGCCATGTAGGAAATATTTTAAATTTGTGGCCAAATGGTCTCTGTTGCAACCATTCAACTTTGCTGTAGTAGGAAAGCAGCCACAGACATTATATAAATAAATGGGCGTGTCTGTGTGTCGATAAAATTTGATTTATGGACCCTAAAATTTGCGTTTAGTATGATTTTTACATGTCACAAGAATTATTATTCTTTGATTTTTTTCTCTCAACTATTTAAAAACGTAAAGCCATTCTTAGCGCTTGAGCAGATCAAAAACAATTAGTGGGACATCTTTGGCCAGCTGACGATAGTTTGCCAATTTCTCTTCTAGTGCCTCATGCTAAAGCATTTACACATTGAAACATATCATCGATTATAGTTCCTTTAGTTCTCCTTTATATTTTATAACTAAAGCACTATGTTTATTTTTCAAAATGAATATGTGTAAATACTGTAAACAACAGTTTTTGTGAAACTACTTGATAGCCCTAGCTGATGTGTCTCAATTGGCTGGGCATCATCCAGTGCACCAAAGGGTTGATGGTTTGATTCCCAGGTAGGGCACATGCCTGGTTTGCATGCTCAATTCCTTGGGGGGGGGGGCGGGGTACAGGCGTCAGCTGACCAAAGTTTCATTCTCTCCCCCTCTCCCTTCCTCTCTCTTTAAAAAAATCAGTTAAAAATCTTAAATAAAGCTACTTGGTTAAAAAAATTAATGTAAAACAACAATTTTTGAGAGCTTCGTAGATCTTTTCTTGGAATGATTAAATATATGCAAGAGAATGTAGCTTCTCCAACAGTTGGCTCTGAGAATGAAAGAGAAGGCTGTGTTTATGGTTTCAGTTGTTCAAATGACAGGCAAAGATCCTGATGGGATAAAATTTGGTGATTTTTGATGAAATTCAGAAGTTCCTTTTTGATAAGGAAATCCATCCTGACTAATCTCTGATGCAAAGCCATTAGGTGATGTCCACAGTTCAGTGCTTTTGAGCTTTCAGACATGTGTATCTTTTCCAGGCCTGGGACATGCTCCATGACTAGCAGAGCTATGCTGAAATATCAGTTCTTTTCCCCTCATTAGGATGTACTGTCTATGAATTTAATTATCATCCAGGTGTGTATTACAAGGTGCTTGTTTCAAAACTGGGCCACTGTGTTTGAATGCATTAGGGGACACCTGATCTCACAGATTTCTTAGTCCTTGAGATTCCCCTCTAGCTCCTATGAGGACCTCCCAATGAGTTGGGAAGGAATAGGAGGGTGAATTATATGCAGTGGCAAGGTCAGTGGGAGAATCAAAATCATTCTGAACTGTAGTGAAATGTCCTTTGTCCACCTACTTGGTGAACTTTGCAAACATATTACTCTTTTTTTTAAATATATTTTATTGATTTTTTACAGAGAGGAAGGGAGAGAGATAGAGAGTTAGAAACATCGATGAGAGAGAAACATCGATCAGCCGCCTCCTGCACATCTACTGGGGATGTGCCCACAACCAAGGTACATGCCCTTGACCGGAATCGAACCTGGGACCCTTCAGTCCGCAGGTCGATGCTCTGTCCACTGAGCCAAACCGGTTTCGGCGCATATTACTCTTGATCTGGTATCTTGGCTTGGTCATACTGAATGGTTGGTCTCCTTGGCTGCCTTCACATCTCCTCGTCTTTCCCTGGTGCTACTAATACCTGGAGTCTCTGTGGACTCTTTCTCTTGGCTCCCTGGCTGGGCAGAATCCCTCCAGCCTTTGCTTGAAGTCACTTCTCCCTTTGTCTTCTGCCCCAGAACAGATGCACTGGCTTTCAACTCAGCTGCCTGCAGGATCTTCCTCAAGGGCTATGGGAACATCTGGCCTCCATCCATGCCATGTGGGAAGTCAAAGCACTGGCAACTTCACTCTACTTTGATGCACCTTGAAATGTGATGTTTTTCCAGAGCCTTAAATAGGATATTTGTTCCTCTTATATTTGTTTCTAAAATCTCCTATCCCCACTGTCAGCTCCAGGAGAAGTGGGCTTCTCTTTTACTTGTCCTATGTCATAAACCCGCCTTCATGACAGAGCTGCAAGCCTCGGGGGTCTTATTGTCATAGGCAGAAAAATGTATCTCCTCTGTACAGGGCAAGATCCTTGGGGCTAAGCAATTGCAGCTCATAGGGAAGCTAAAGGAACTCAGCAGATCCTCTCACTAGACAAAGCATTGCTTTCAAACCCATTGTTTTGTATGTTTTCTCTGACCCTGAATGAGGAGTCTGAACAAGGAGACTGAAAAAAGAACAAGATTTAAAGAAAGGACATTCAAGCAGAGTTTTAACATTTACTATATACTAGACAAATTATAATTATGATCTGAAATTACATTGTTTTCCTCCAATGGGACTAAGAGCTGAAATGTGAATGCGGTTTAATTGGTGAAGGGTTCAGCACAAGTGTAAGTGTCACCATACTTTGGGGTGTATCCCCATATGAAATGGTATAGCCCCAGTTCACCCATCAACTGTCATAAATGTCAGATGATTCTGAGGCCATGTCAGTATGAGCTCACAGATCCCTGTGAGATGTTCCAGTTTCTTGGGATTTCTGCTCTTTCTCCCTGTGATGTCCAAAGCCCTCACCATGATTATTTACATTCTTATCTTCATTCTTCTTGGAACTGAGGAGAGCTGACTGATTGCACCCTTCCTACTTCTATTTTAGCTTTTTCATCAAACTCCCTACCTCTCTGTTCCTAAGAGTTCTGTGCATATGCAGGATTTTTGCCTGGCTTGTGGATGGAATCAGCCTCCTCTCAATTCCAGCAGAGGGTGTGTGTGTGTGTGTGTGTGTGTGTGTGTGTAGGGAACAGAAGAAGAAAAGGGCTGAGTCGGAGGTAGAGATGAATGACAGGGGAATTCAAATAGGCTTAAATATATAATTATACTCTATTTCTATTAAATAGAAATATCTTGAGTGCTTCTTATAATACTCCATGACAACATATTTACAGGATAATGATCTAATTGAACAGAAGGAGGGAGAGGGTTGCTGTTAGTAGGACTTTGAGGGAGAAAAGTATTATTTTATGTATATTCACACTTCTTGCTTTGACAGCCAGGACACAGTACTTCTCTGCTATTATCTTACTCTCTCTTGTTTTTCCTTTAGCTCAACAGAATTCACCAAAAATCCATGAAGGCTGGTGGGCGTACAAGGAGGTGGTCCAGGGAAGCTTTGTTCCAGGTAAAACATTTACTCTCATTTATAAGAAAAGAATTTGAATGAAATACGGTATTATTTCCAGAGTTTTGCATTTGCTACATGGCATGGACTGTATTGCAAAAGGCAGCATATTCTGACTTACGCGTTAGATGAATACTCCATCAGGAGAAAGTGTATGGAGCGAGTGGCAATTTAACCAAGACCGCCTTTTTCCATCTGAGTCTCCATCCCAAGGTCCTTGCACCTGCAGGTGGCTCTGTCAAGGAGAGGGTGATGGAGGACTGAGGGTTGAAGCTGTGTCTGCTGGAATTTGGTGAAGTGAGAGAGAGCCGTTTCTTAACATGAGTGAAGCAGGGAGTCTGGAGAGGATGGCCATGGCCATGTGGCCTGCTGGGATGCATGCTGTCATTGATGTCACTCCAGGAGCATCCGTGGTCAGCACTTAACAGATTGGGCCAAGCACCAGCTAAAAATAACAGGCAAAGAAGATGCTGTCAGCGTCGGGGGAGGGAACTGGAGACGGGTTGGAGGCAGAAACGTACTGTGACTTTAGTTTAGAAGCGAGGTGGAGGGTCCCTGTCTTTCCCCACTCCTCTTATTCTAGTCGTGGTCCCCATCCCTCTGGGGTGTTTAATGAAGACTTTAGTGGGGAGAGAAGCAAGGGGAAGAGCAAGAATGTTCAAGAGAAGGATGGAAGGGAAGGCAGGTGAGATATTTCAAAGTATTTTAACTGCTAAAAATGAGAGGGTAAAAAAGAAAGCTTTCAAGAGGAGCCAACATGGGGTCCTCGCTCAGGCACTGAGAACAGATGACCTCAAGTGTCAGTTGGGGTCTTTGTAATTGGTGGCAAGTGGAAAGAGCAGTGCCCCAGGTCGCCTGGCTCATCCACATGATCGACGTGATGTCATCTTCTCCTGTTCTGTAGAGTTCACTACATTCGCGGTGCAGAGCTAAGCAAGTTACCAAGCTTCTCTTCGCGTCCCATTTCTCACTTGTGACGTGAACATATGATAAACAGTGCTATCCATGGCTTGTGAGGGAAAGCCTGCTGATCACACTTGGGGACAAAAGCCACACTAGTGATGGCAGAACAGAAAGTTGGAAAGAACCCGCATCTTTTATGGCCCATTGAGCATTGAGTTGACCACGGCATTGCCTCAGCATTGATTTTCTTAAGTGAGAAAACAAACCTCTTATTGTTGGAGCCACTTCGAATCAGGCTTTCTGTCACTTGCAACCCAATGCATTCTTCCAGGTTCAGGTTTCTCAGGACACCGTGGGAGGAAGGAAGTTGGAACTGGGTCCTGACAGTGTTTAGGATTATTCCAAGTGGAGAAGGAGAGGGTAGGGAATGTCAGAGTAAACAGCACTGGCAAAGAAGATTGAAAATGCACTTGAGGGATGGTGGGTACTTCTGAGTATCTAAAGGGCAGGGTACATAGTGGAGCCGGATGTGTGAGAAGGCCAGCAAGGTCCTTAGAGGCCAAACCATGAAACTCTCTGTGTTCCAATTATAAGAGCTAAGATACAATCCCTTTAAAAATAGAGGTATTGACCCAACTGGCATGGTGCAGTGGTTGAGTGTTGACCTATGAACCAGGAAGTGATGGTTCGATTCTGGTCAGGGCACATGCTTAGGTTTTAGGCTCGATCCCCAGTGTGGGGCATCATGAGGTTTTTGGGTTTTTTTCTTTTCATGTTTTTTTTTCTTCATTTTTTTTAAATCATCCAGGCAACAGATGGTAAGCACCTATACTAAGACTGTGAAACAAAACAAAACAAAACAAAAAACAGAAAGAAAAATGGGTTTTTGTGGGATTTGTTTAATAGCATTTAAAGCATATATCTCTTTCTCACACATGTACATAACACATTTATAATTTAGCATAAATATATACACACATTTAACACATTTCAGAAAAATGTGTGCCAAATACTATCTATTCACATTTCGCTTATCCAAAACAGTAGGGAGATTGGGCATTCCCTTTAGTGGAGGCACTATGCTAGGAGCTAGGATTTCAAAAAAGAGATGGCCACACTTCAAGTGTCTGCGTAGAGATCCTAGGAATAATGGGAGGACAATAAACAGTTATAAGAAATGTACTCTTCCTCGGAGATATGACAAACTCCATGGGATCATGACACTGAGTTTCTAACTGTCTGAATGATGAATAGAGGAATTCATAGCTTCATTTCTGACCAGGATGGCAGAAGGGTGCTTTGACTCAATGGCGCCATCCTCTGGTGTGTTCTTTAAAATCGAGTAGGAATGGTTCGCCCAGGCTAATCAGCTCATTCAACATGCAATTTCCAACCCTTCCTTGTTGGGCAGTTTTAAAAGCTTAAGATTGTTAGAAGATGAGGATAATTACACCTGTTGGCAGCCACCTGTGGTTTAGCAGTAATGCCTAATTACCTGTGTTGTTCAAAATGGCCAATTTTCTTTGCTTAAGAAAGGCTTATATTAGATACTGGTAAGACAAACAAGAGCTCGCTTTTCTCCCAGCAGTTCTCCCAGTAGGGGATGCTTGCTGTCTAGGATGGCTGGCCTGGGGTCATGCATGACTCTCATTCCTCCACATAGTAAATGGTGCCTACTAGTTAGAAAACTAAATATTACTTTTCTATTGCTGTGTAACAAGAGGCCACATATTTAATAGCTGAAATCGACACACATTGATTGCCCCACAGTTTCCTGGGTCAGGAAGTCCAAGTATGGCTTCACTGGGTCCTCTGCTCAGGGGCTCACAATGCTGCCAAAGGTGTCAGTGCAGCTGTATTCTCATCTGGGGCCGAGCTTTTGCAGGTCCTTAACAGGATTCAATTCTTTGGGGGTTATAGGACAGTGGCCCTAGGCCCTACAAGCTGTCCATTCTCCATCGGTAGTTCACAACATGGCTGATGGTTTCTCCAAGGCCAACAGCAAAGTGTCCTGCCTCAAATCTTTCCCTTCCTTTCTGGGAAGGCCTTGTCTCTCTTTTTAAAGTTAGGCCTACCCAGAGTAATCTCTCTTTTGATCAACTCAGCGTCACCTTTGGGGACCTCATTTACATCTACAAAATGTGACCTACTCACATTTGAAACCCCAGCTTTTCCTAAATCCCACCGCCTCTCAGTGGAGGTGTGTACACCATTTTGACCTTCCAATATGAGTAGACATTGTTCTAGCCTAGTGTCTTCAAATTGAGAAGTAGGTAATAATGTTCTTTGGGTGGGATATTGCTTGTGTTGCCTTTACATGAAGAATATCCTCAAGAGAAAACCAGAGCGGCTTCCCCCACCCCACCTCAGATTTCTCGGCCACTTTTCTCAGATTTACAACAGATGTAGAGGGTGAGGGAGAAGGGGGGACTTAATACATGACTCCCAGGCTTCTTTCAATGTGTTAGAGCAGTGGTTCTCAACCTTCCTAATGCCGCGACCCTTTAATACAGTTCCTCATGTTGTGGTGACCCCCAACCATAAAATTATTTTCGTTGCTACCCCATAACTGTAACTTTGCTACTGGAAACAATATGTAATTATATATGTGTTTTCCGATGGTCTTAGGCGACCCCTGTGAAAGGGTCATTTTACCCCCAAAGGGGTCGCGACCCACAGGTTGAGAACTGCTGTGTTAGAGAGTGGTGCTGTAGTCCATTGTTGAGATGCAGAAACCATTCAGTCAAGTGGGCAGGACAAGGTATATAGAGACTCCTGTGGACAGCAGCACTCAGGGGCCCATCCAGATGTCACCCCAAATTGCTCTTCCAACTTTCCCCCTGCCCTCCTCTCCCTGGCTCTTTTACCCTCTGGCCCTAGAACCTAGCTTCTCATGTGTCTCCCCACTAGGGCCCACGTCCTTGTGTTTAGTGACCTTGCCTTTTGGCCTCTGGCTCAGGCTCAGGGTTTGCTTCTCACCCTGTACCCAACCTCCTACTCCATCTTTGACCCAGAGGTTCTGTTGACCGTGGTATCAAGTGAAACACAGGACATAGGTTCTCTCCCCTCAGATATTCACTACGTGGCCACCCCAACCCACTCACTCTAAAGGGAAGAGGGTCCCATAGTCCCAAGCTTACCTATCCTCCAGCATCATTCAATACACCCCAGTTGAGAGCTATGTAAAATAATTCTATTGGTTTCCTGTGGTTGCTGTACAAATGAACACAAATAGGGGCTCAAAACAATACACATTTATCTTACATCTAAAGATATATATATATATATATATATATATATATATCTAGACACACACACACACATATATGTATCCTATCTAAAAATAGGGAATATGCTAATTGACTGTCATGTCATCACAAAGATGGCAGTGCCCACAGCCAATAGGGGGAATATGCTAATTGACCATCACACCCTCAAAGATGTCAGCACCCACAGCCAATAAGGAGGGAATATGCTAATTGACTGCCATGCCCTCAAAGATGGCAGCGCCCACATCCACAAGATGACAGTGCCCAGTCCTCTCAGCCCCGCCAGAGTGGCAGGCGTGCGGCAAGGCCAGGCCTGCCCCCAGGTGTGCGGCAAAGCCGGGCCTACCCAGGGTTGGCCCAAGGCGCAGGCAAGCCTCAGATGGCGGCTGCCCAGCCGTGCAGGGCTGCCCGAGGCTCAGGTAACCAGGGCCAGTCGAGGCTTGCGCTGCCAGGAGTGGCAGCAGCAGAGGTGTGATGGGGGTGTCGCCTTCTCCTGATCGCCAGGTCGCCTCCTGCCCCTGAGGGCTCCCGGACTGTGAGAGGGGGCAGGCCGGGCTGAGGGATCCCCCTCCAGTGCATGAATTTTCATGCACCGGGCTTCTTGTATATCTATAATTCTAGAGGCCAGATGTTCTAATATCAAGCACATCTTAATACCCCACTTTATGACATCAATTTCTCTGCTACAAAAATATATACAAGCCTTGTTTGGTTATAGCATTTAATTTTAATTTCTCTAACAGAGAAAACTTGCATTTGACAGAGTCTTGTGGCATATTGTTTGGTCAAGGGAATACCCTCTGCTGTGGGAGCCAGTCAGTTCTTATT